ACTAGGATTATAGGCGTGAGCCACTGACGCCTGGCCTTGACCAAGAATTTTAAGGAATATCAGTACAAATCATCTTATTATAGGTTGCTCTGACATATTTGAAAAACTTGAATATTTAAATTTTGTTAGTGTATACATTTGTCTATTATTTGACTTTTTCACTGTATTCAAAATAACATGGTAAATCACTTAGGACCGAGCTCACAGAATTGGACAGACGAAGACAGTCAGAGTGTTCCGCTTTATAACAGATAACACAGTGGAAGAAAGAATAGTGGAACGTGCCGAGATGAAACTCAGACTGGACTCAATAGTTATTCAGCAAGGTAATGCTTTGAACTTTATTATTGTTGTTATTCTTTTGGTGGGGACACTCGGCGTGCATGCGTGTGTGTGTGTGTGTGTGTGTGTGTGTGTGCGTGTGTGTGCGTGTGTGTACTGGGCTAGGATGCTGCTTGTTCTACTCCTACCTTTTTTTCCTCAAGGCTCTTGGCTCCATCACGTGAGCCACATCTCTTCTGGCTTTTTGCTGGTTAATTCAAGGAAAAAGTCTTCAGAGTTTTCTCCTCAGCCTATCTTCAAACCAAAATCCTCTCAGCTTTTCCTGAGTAGCCAGGAATACAGGCATGAGCTACCCCAGCTCCTGGCAGTGTTTGTTCTGATTGAAATAATAGAATTTTATAAGTTTTTAGCTCAGGTCATTTTTAGAAACTTGTTACTTATTGCAGTTTAACTTTCACTTTTTTTTAAAGAAAAACTGACTTAAGAAGATTAGGAGTGGGATCTTCTGCTCACCAGAAATGAGTTACTGTGTTTGTAATGCTTCATATATGTTGAAATTTTTTCCCCAATCTGATTTTTATATATCTCAGATATTATATTTACCTTTCACAAAACATTTTAGCAAGCTGATATACATTAAAATAAATAATGCCTAAGATGAAAAATTGGCATTAACGAGTTAATAAATAAGAAAATGACCTGAAGTGAATTAACATCTAACATTGAAGATTCCACGCTTCCAGTAAAATGATATTGTTAATACCATCTTTTTCAGGGAGGCTTGTAGATCAGAATCTGAACAAAATTGGGAAAGATGAAATGCTTCAAATGATACGACATGGAGCCACTCATGTATTTGCCTCAAAGGAGAGTGAAATCACTGACGAGGACATCGATGGCATTCTGGAAAGAGGTGCAAAGAAGGTGAGCTGCAGGCTGAACACACACTGCTTTTAAGCTGACGTGCTTCCCACTAGACCTGTGGCATGGGTTATCTGCCCATAGTCCTCCTGTAAAGAAAGCTTTTGTATGTACTGTAAAATATTAGCTTGTCTTGATTACAGGTCTCATGCTCTTCATTTTGTCTCCAATTCAGACTGCAGAAATGAATGAAAAGCTCTCCAAGATGGGTGAAAGCTCCCTTAGGAACTTCACAATGGACACTGAGTCAAGTGTTTATAACTTTGAAGGGGAAGACTACAGAGAAAAACAAAAGGTATTGCAGAATGAGGATTTAATTACCTGTGCTATATATTGCTGAAAGCTTGGAATTTTGTTTTTCAATGCTTTGTAATTTTGTCTTAAGTAACAGTTCTGTTTGTTCATATCTAATTTTTTTAACATTTTCTGTGTGGTAAGCTCTGATAGTATGTGCATGTGTATGTGTGTGTAAGTGTGCACGTGCATGCGCGCTACGTGTGCATGTGTGTACACACATGTGCATCTGTCCTGGGGGTTGAACTCAGGGCTTGGTCACAGTCCCTGAGCTTCTTCAAGGTTAGCACTCTACCATTTGAGCCATAATGCTACTTCTAGCCTTTTCTGAGTAGTTAATTGGAGTCTCATGGATTCTCCTGCCCAAGCTGGCTTCAGACCCTGATCCTCAGATCCTAAGTCCAGAGTAGCTAGGATTATAGGTGTGAGCCACCAGCATCTGGCTTGAATTTTTTTTCTGTCAATCGTGGGGCTTGAACTCTGGGCCTGGGTGCTGTCCCTCAGCTCTTCAGCTCAAGGCTAGCGCTCTACCACTTGCGCTACAGCACCACTTCTGGTTTTCTGGTGGCTTATTGGAGATAAGAGTTTCACGGACTTTCTTGCCTAGCCTGTCTTTGAACTGCAATCCTCAGATCTCAGCCTCCTGAGTAGCTAGGATTACAAGCGTGAGCCACCAGCGTCCAGCTTTGAATTTAAAGTTTATGCAGTTAAGTTTATTGTATGCTGTAACATACTTTCTTGTGTACAGTGAGTATAATTTGAGATACTTGAAAATGAAAATCAAGAAAAATGTCACAAATTGGATTTTATTTAAGAGAATCGGTAGGGATTAAGACAATTTTTTTCTAATTTTGCTAATACTACATGCCAATGTGGAGAGAAATTAGGACATGTCAATAAAAAAGAAGAAAAATGTAATTCTCTGTAGAGTTTTTCTGGCTAACATTGATAAGTATGTCCTCAGATTTTTTTTTTTTTTTTTCTGGGTTAAACATACCTGCATCTTGTAGTATTTTCACCCTCGTCCAACAGAATTATTCTCTGGCGCAAAAGATAGTCCCGACTTTTGTACTGCCTTTGCCTGCCGTCAGGTTTCATCAGTACCTACTTAGGCCCATCATGTGCCCTAAACATTTGTTACCGTATATAATGAACAGTGGCCTTTCCACTTGTTTCCCACTGCTAGATTGCATTCACAGAGTGGATTGAACCTCCTAAGCGAGAGAGGAAGGCGAACTACGCTGTCGATGCCTACTTCAGGGAAGCGCTTCGAGTCAGTGAACCGAAAGCACCCAAGGTGAGCTGATGCTTGTTCATACATTGTTACAACAAAGGAAGATTGAGACTTAGGTTCTGTGTGTTTTTGTACAGATTCCCCTTCCATTATTATTTAAATACTGAAAAGTTCTTTGGTGATCTTTTGCTCTTTTGGTTCAGCGTTACTGAGCTATGCTTTCAGTTCCTTAAAAATTGGCTGTCATGGTTTATGAAATGACAAATGCAAGGTGGGGCGAGGGGTTTTTTTGTTGCTTATATTTTAAGGGACAATACTGTGTTTTATTTTTTCTTAGGCTCCTAGACCTCCAAAACAACCCAATGTTCAGGATTTCCAGTTCTTTCCCCCCCGTTTATTTGAATTATTGGAAAAAGAAATTCTGTATTACAGAAAAACTATTGGGTACAAGGTAAGTAAAATTCTACACTTTATGTTTTTTAATGAAAACCAATTTCATATATTAAACATATAAAACTAGGGTAGAGCCAATACCCTTTCTCCTGAGGAGAAATCTGTTAATCTATTACGTGTCCTTTAAGTGTGCTGATTGATGGCATCTCTCTTAGGTACCTCGAAGTCCTGACCTACCTAATGCAGCCCAGGCCCAGAAGGAAGAACAGCTCAAAATCGATGAGGCAGAACCACTTAATGATGAAGAATTAGAAGAAAAAGAGAAGCTTTTGACACAGGTATAGGCTGCAGTCAACACAGTTGCAAACACTTATTTTGTAAATTGCTGTTTAAGGGGTTGTGTTGGTACATACAAGTTTCTACTTTCAAAGAACAGTTACTGAAGGTTCCGTAGCTCAATCGTAGAGCATTTGCCTACCATGCAAGAAGCACTGTGAGAGTCGGGTGATGGTGGCTCACACCTGTAATCGTAGCTACTCAGGAGGCTGAGAATTGAGGATTGCATGTTCAAAGCCAGCCTGGGCAGGAAAGTCTTCCAGTTAACCACCAGAAGACCCAAAGGTTCTGTGGCTTATAGTGATAGAGCACCATCCTGGAGCAAAAAAGAGCTCAGGGACAGTGCCTAACAAGCCCCACAACTGACAAAACAAACAAAAAAGACCCTGTTGAGGGAAAATACAGACTGATTGAAGATGGTTACCATGGTTGAATTGTTTGGTTTGTTAACTTGTCAACATGGTTGAGAAGATTCTAGATAGTCGTTGGTGGAGGGTTTTCAGTGTTAACATCTTTCCCGGAATGTTTCCCATTGCTGCGAAGTTATTTTCAATGACAGATATCTTGATGGTGCTGTTAGTCAGCCTTCAGGGTTCATTCGGAGCCTTTCCAAATCCAGCTTGTGACCCCCCGTTGGAGCTTCCTGCTCTCATGTCTCTCTGTGGGCATCTCTGCTCTTCAGCTTATGATGACCCTTCCTTAAAAACTCCCAGTCTACTTCAAAGCTCAGAAAAAAATGCCATCTGCGCCTTACTCCCTCACATTGAATAGTATTTCTTTTAGTAAACACAAAGTGTTGGTAAAAGTGTGTATCTGTACAAGTAAGTTAACCACTGTAAAAAGAACTTAATTGAAGTAGGAGCAGTTGAAACTTTATCTGTAATTTTCAAATGCATAGGTAAAGTGTAATGGCTTTGTTTCCAAGTGTAACATGCTGTGATTGTTTTATTCATTGCTTTTTAGGGATTTACTAATTGGAATAAGAGAGATTTTAACCAGTTTATCAAAGCCAATGAGAAGTGGGGCCGTGATGATATTGAAAACATAGCCAGAGAAGTGGAAGGGAAAACTCCAGAAGAAGTCATTGAATACTCAGGTAATACTTCTATTAATTGAATGAACAGAGTGTTACTAGGCCTTTGGAGGTTATCGGTTGTAGAAGCTTCTTCTCTTCTTTATCTCAGCTGATTATGGTATAACCTGGTATGTTCATTAAGATATGACCTAATTGTTTTATTTATAAATACTGTGTGTGTGGGCGCGCACGCGCATGTGCGTGTGCATCCACGTTCATGTATGTGCAGCATGCTGGCACAGGCAAACTCAGGGTCTTGAATTCTTGCTTGGCCTTTTTGCTCAAGGCTCATGCTCTACCAATTGAATCACACCTCTGTTTCTAGGTTTTTGCTGGTTAATTGGAGATAAGAGTCTCACAAACTTTTCTGCCTGGGCTGGCTTTGAACCGTGGTCCTCAGATCTCAGCCTCCGGAGTAGCTAGGATGACAGGCGTGAGCCACCAGTGCTCAGTTTTCAGTTGGCTTTTTTCTCGTGGCTGGTGGTTCTGAGCCATATCTCCAGTGTACCTTTACTGCTGATTAGTTGAAGATAGTTTCACAGATTTCACAGAGTTTCAAACTTTTTTGAGTCACAATCACAGTATCTAAGATTAAAGGTGTGAACCACAGGCACCTGGCTAGATTTGTTGTTGTTGTTGTTGTTTAGATCAACTAACTATAGCCACAAAACCCAGAATAGGTCACTGTACAGTGGCACTTCAATTTTTGTTTCATACTGAATATGTGTAGTCTATGCTATGGTAAGAATGTACAGAATCTTAGAGTAGCAATATTTAAGAAGTGGAAGAAAACTTTTAACACCCAGAATTGTTTTCTCACATTTAAGAAAACTGAAACATTATTAGTGACTTACTTCCTTTCTGCTATTAAATGTAGAATAAGTGAAAATGTTTCTTAGTCCTTTGCAAATCAATTATACACACATGAATATCTGTATCGGCAAGCTTTTGTTTTAATGTTCTCCTTCATTCCCTCCATCTGTCCAACGTTTCCTCCATAGCTGTGTTCTGGGAAAGATGCAATGAGCTCCAGGACATAGAGAAGATCATGGCTCAGATAGAGAGGGGAGAGGCAAGAATCCAAAGAAGAATAAGTATCAAAAAAGCACTTGATACAAAGGTACAGTTGGTACTATATTAATAAGTATGATGGTTACTGTCCTAACTCCTATCTGTGAGTTGCAGTAACTTTTTTAGGGTAGGAGGAGTGTTGGTACTGGGACTTTAACTCAGCCTGATTTTGTTCTTTACCTTTTCGCTCAAGACTGGCACTTTGCCACTTGTGTCTTTTTCTGTGGTATTTTAGAGATGAGTTTCTCAGATTTGTCTGCCTAGACTGAGTTTGAACCATGATCTTCATATCTTACTCAGCCTACTGAGCAAGCTAGGATTACACATGCAAGTCACAAATGTGTGGCGTAAAGTAACTTTTTGGCCAATCATGGGGCTTGAACTCAGGGCCTGGATTCTGTCCCTGAGCCTCTCTGTGCTCAAGGCTGCCACTCTACCGCTTGAGATTTTGATCCACAGCGCTGCTTCTGGCCTTTTCTGGTACTGAGGAATAGAACCCAGGGCTTCATGCATGCTAGGCAAGCACTCTACCACTAAGCTACATTCTCATCCTTTTAAAGTAACTTTTAAAAGAAATGAGAATTTAAAATTTTTTCAGAGAAAAATGATTAACTGCTAAAGAGCCTTTGAATTGACTGATCCTGGGTCGCAGACACTCAGCTTAGTCCTTCCTAAGTAGCATGAGGAAGGTGGTCTCTAGAAAATGATAAACACCATCAAAGTACAATTGAGATTCTTGGACAGAATATTCTGATGATGATATTTATAGTTACTAACAAGTCTGACTTCCGTAGATTGGCCGGTACAAAGCACCTTTTCATCAGCTGAGAATATCGTATGGCACTAACAAAGGGAAAAACTACACTGAAGAGGAGGATCGATTTCTCATCTGCATGCTTCACAAACTCGGATTTGACAAGGAAAATGTTTATGATGAATTGCGACAGTGTATTCGAAACTCCCCTCAGTTCAGATTTGATTGGTTTCTTAAGTCCAGAACTGCAATGGTGAGTTTTCATTTGTGTTTTTGTAATAGAGCAGAATTCAGAATATAATTTTATTTTATTTTTTTGTTTTTTATGGGCCTGAACTCTTGGCCTGGGCCTGGGCACTGTCCCTCAGCTCTTCAGCTCAAGGCTGGCACTCTACCACTTGAGCCACAGCATCACTTCTGGCTTTTTTCTGCTTATGTGGTGCTCAGGAATTGACCCAGGGCCTTATGCATGCAAGGCAAGCAGTCTACCCCTGAGCCACCTTCCCAGCCCCTCAGAATATATATATCCTTTACTTTTTAACTTTGAGGTGGTATCAGAAATTGTAAACTTTTTTAGAAAAGTAACTCATATCCAAAGCTTGCAAATCTAACACATATGTAACTTAAAAAGCTTATTTGTTAGTCCCATCCATTAATGCCACGTACTTGTAGCATTGCTAGTTTTTGACATTTTATTAGTTTGTGAGTGTGTTTTTAAGTGGCCAATATGGAGAAGCACTTGGCCTGGTGGAGATATAACTCTGGGTTTTGTTGATCCCATTTGTGTCTAAAAAAGAGCTGGCTCTTTTCCTTCAGTAGTTGAGCAGTTTTGAACTTCTTAAACTCCTAGATTGTGCAAGATGATGAAAATGTAGAGATTTTCTAGTGCTAGGTTTGGACATACTGGGATGAGCAAGTCTTCCAATATTTCTATAGTTCTCAGTGCCTTTTAAGTATATTGTCACACAACACAGCAATGGACGGAGTAAAGTGTTTTTGTGTTTGATGACTGATATCATTGTTTTTTGATATCCTTTTTAGAGAAAGTTATTAACAGGGCTCTGAAAGTGAAAACTATACTTTAGCCTATCAGTAGCCCAGTGTCAATATATGCCTGCCTACTAAGGGAAACTAATTAGGTATTATTACCTTCTATATTATTATTTCAGATATTTAATGAGTTCTTTCTTTCTTTTTTTTTTTTTTTTTTAATTTTTTGCCTGTCCTGGGGCTTGAACTCAGATCTTAGGTGCTGTCCCTGAGCCTCTTTGTACTCAAGGCTATTGCTCTTGCCCTTGAACCACAGCATCTTTTCTGGCTTTTTCTGAGTAGTTTATTGGAGATGAGAGTCTCACAGACTTTCCTGCCCAGGCTGGCTTTGAACCACAATCTTCAGATCTCAGCCTCTTGAGTAGCTAGGGTTACAGGTGTGAACCACTGGCACCGGCTACATTTTTAACTGAGAATGTCATTTACATGAGCTTAGAGCTGAATTTTATTATGCTTAGTTATGCTGAATTTTTTGTGGGAAAATGGGTATAGTTATATTTAGATTATCTAACTGCAGAACTTGGTGTGAAGACAGCTTCAGCAATAACAAACAATGAAAACTTGTTTATGATATACCTTTCTTTCTAGTAAAGCATAGTCTTGTTTAGACATTGAAATCCTGACCACAGGCAAATGGCAGGTACAAGTTTACTGTGGATATTTGTAATGCAGGAACTACAGAGGAGGTGTAATACCCTAATTACCTTGATTGAAAGAGAAAACATGGAACTAGAAGAGAAAGAGAAGGCAGAGAAAAAGAAACGTGGACCAAAGCCTACAGTAAGTGTTCATGAATATGTGAAGATTTTAAGATTATAGAAGCTATATATTTTTTTTCTTAAGTAGTTAAACTCATGGCTTTCATGTGTATTATTAGCCTCTTTGTTTTTGCAAAAAAAAAAAGTATAAATTAAAACTTGGTTGCACTGTATAGGGAAAATCTTATAAGGGGTTTCTAAAAGTTTGGGAAAGTATGTCCTAAGAATGTCAGGATATGCATTTCTCATTGGGAATACATGCAATCATTTTAGGGTGTTTATTTCGTAATATGACAGAAATAGTTTTATAACCTCTAAGATTGACTTCTAAAGTGTGATTTACTGCTCAGCCCTGTCTTAGCAATGTGAAGACAAGCATTCTACGGGGAAAAAAGTTGTCTTGTAACTTAGTAAAATTTGGAGATTGGATAGTTAATTTTGAAAGATTTATTATGTCTTAGAAAGGAAACTGTACTTAGCAGTCACTATAAAGGGCAGTCATGTATCTGAATATATTTCATGGTTACTATGTCTTGTCATGAGAAGTAATCTTTGTGTTTGTTTATAGACACAGAAACGTAAGATGGATGGAGCACCTGATGGTCGAGGGAGGAAAAAGAAGCTGAAACTATGAATGCGTATTTGTTTCATAATCACTAACTTTAAACTAGTAGTTCTTTAATTTACGGGTCTTCATAAGATGTACTGTACAATGCTGAATTGTTATGTCATTCAAAGACATCAGGTTCATCTGTTTACTGAGCTAGAAACGTAGTATGTAGTTTCACTTTTTTAAATGCAACAGCTGTGCTGAAAATTTTTTTATCATTAACTTGAAGTAATAAAATAGGCTTCATTTATTAATAAATGTTTCATTTGATTTATTTTTCTATTACAGTTCCATTTGTGAAGTTTGTGGTTTTTTGTTATCAGCTATGATTTCTACACTTGTGTGGCTTAAAACCAAGCAAACAAGTAACGACATTGCAGATAGCGCTTGTCCCTTTGCCCCTCCTCACTTAGTGGTGGAATTGCTTTAACTCCCTTTGCCTTTGCAGAAATGTTGGTATTTTCTTTGTAATGTTGTTGAGTCTCATCAAAAGATCATGTAAACTCCATTCTCCTTGCTTCTTGTAGAACAGGGGGAAAGACAAGCAAATGATCATTTCTGTGCATATATCTGTTGCGCTTTCTTTCTTTTCTGTAGTTGGCTCTGGAGTAAAGATGCCCTCCTCTGTTGGACGGATGGCCTTTTAGTTGTATAGCCAAAGACATTTAGTATTACACCATTTTGTAAAAGGAATATTTTTTTTTAAGTATTTGGTAAATATTTTGACAAATGATCTTCCCACACAGCCACAACTTAGAAAGATAATGTCAGAACTAAGGTGATTTTTTTTTTATTTTGAAAGAATCAGCCAAACTAAGGTATGACCTTACCATACTGTTAAAATTGGTAACAGAATGTATCCCCTCCCAGTTGATAGTATTTTTGAGTTTTTAGGGTAAATGCAAATTTTATTTTATTATATTTTAACATAATTTCTAAGTGTTAGCAGGATTGAGTATAGTTCTAGTTTTTATTTCTATGGAACAGACTTGATGAACTGGAGACCCTGAAGCAGGAATACCCAAATTGTAGTGTCAGGATTTTAGCTGTACCAGAGGCCTTTATGTGCTACACATAATTTGTATAAAGTTTTATATGTGCAAATTGGGTACATAAACAGTTCTCCATTTTTCTAAGGGAATGCAATAAATGTAGCATCGTGAATAAATATAACTTTTATAATCCTTAACGTGGTCTATTCTTTCCATTTCTTTAATTTTTTTCATTTAATTTTTTACTTTCTTCCTTAGGAAATGGTCTCCTATAGATGTCTTCTCTCGATTTTTTGTTGTTTTTAATTATTCCTCACAAGCCATTAAAAGTTTTGATTTTCTACAGTATGACTAATACTCTGCACAATCTTCCAGAGATGTGGGCACTGGCGCCCTTAACCACGCTCTTTCTGGCAAGTTAATTCCAAAGTAATTTGAACTCACTCCATGCTCCCCTACGCTGACTTGTGTACAAGATTTGGGGTTTTAATAGGAGTGTGAACTCAATGTTGCTGAAAATGATTGAAAATGTAAGGCTGTAGAAAACCTAATGGACGTCTGGGCGCCGGTGGCTCACGCCTATAATCCTAGCTGCTCAGGAAGCTGAGATCTGCCTGTAATCCTAGCTACTCAGGAAGCTGAGATCTGAGGATTGTGGTTCAAAAGTTCGTGAGACTCTTATCCCCAATAAACCACTAGAAAACCAGAAGTGGCGCTGTGGCTCAAGCTAAAGAGCACAAGGACAGCGCCCAAGCCCAGAGTTCAAGCCCCACGACACCCCCCCCCCAAAAAAAGAAAAAGAAAAAACCTATGGATGGGGCTGGGAAGGTGGCTCAGTGGTAGAGCGCTTGCCTTACATGCGTGAGGCCCTGGGTTCGATTCCTCAGCACCACATAAGCAGAAAAAGCTGGTTCAAAGCCAGCCTGTGCAGGAAAGTCTGTGAGATTCTTACCTCCAGTGAACCACCAGAAAACCAGAAGTTGTGCTGTGGCTCAAGTGGTAGAGTGCTTGCCTTGAGCTGAAGAGCTCAGGAACAGCACCCAGGCCCAGAGTTCAAGTCCCACAACCTACAAAAAAAAACCCTATGAAACTCCCAAAAGTGATGGAGAAACTGAGAGGAAAAGATACAGAGGGGAAACAGTTTATTGTCAGGTCTTAAGCTTGAATTCAGTTCCAAATTAACAACAAATGTAAAAAACTCGAATGAAAAAAAATCATCTAAGGTAATAACCAAATTGAGCATTGTGGTTTAGCTAGTGCTAGAGGTAACTTTTCTAGGGATCAATATTTTTAATTTGTAAGGTCAATTTTAAAACGTATAGTTTGCCAAGTAGAGTGGTACATGACTATAATTTCAGCTCTTAGGATCTTGAGGCAGAATGATGAAGAGTTCAAGTACAGGGCTACATATGCATAGCAAGATGCTATCTACCCCCCCCACCCCAAATACAACAAACACGTTAGGACGTTGTTGGTTCACTCCTGTAATCATAGCTACTCAGGAGGCTGAAATCTGAGGATTGCAGTTCAAAGCCAGCATGGGCAGGAAAGTCTGTAAGACTTCAGTTAACCACTAGAACCCAGAAGTGGTGCTGTAACTCAAGTGGTAGAGTGCTAGCCTTGAGCTGAAGAGCTCAGGTACAGCGCCCAGACACAGAGTTCAAGGCCCATGACTAACCAAACAAAAACAAAACTACAAGAAATACCTAAAAGAAAATGATGGAAAATCAAAAGTGGTTTCTAACTAAATTGCAAGTCTTTATCAGGTATAGGCAAGGTATACCTATGACCATTGCTATTGTTAGTTTAAAACTAATCGACAACTAGTTATTAGGCAATTGGGGGCTATGTTAATTTTCAAGTTTTTTTTTTTTTTTTTTTGAGAGTAGAGGAAAAGATTTTCCAACTTCCATGGCTCTGCCCAAATAAGCTTTGGGCTTACTTGCAAATGTATTAGGGCACTCACATCAAATGTGAAAAGCTAAAATGAGATTGTGTGTGTGTAAGTGCTTTTGCCCAGCATTAAGAGGTCACTCTTTTAGTCCCAAGTGTTGACTTAACTGATAGTGATGGATTTCTACTGAGTTTAGAAACAAAGTAGAAGAAAATAGAAGATGAGGGTTGGGAATGTGGCTTAGTGGTAGAGTGCTTGCCTAACAAGCATGAAGCCCTCAGCACCACATAAACAGAAAAAGCCAGGAGTGGTGCTGTGGCTCAAGTGGTAAGTGCTAGCCTTGAGCATAGAGAGGCTCAGGGACCTGAGTTCAAGCCCCAGGGCTGGCCAAAAAAAAAAAAAGACAAATACACAGTGTCATTTTGCACAGGCGCAATCAGTGTCATTTTGCACAGGCGCAATCAGTTCCGTAAGCACGTGCGTGTGTGTGTGTGTAGGCATATATATATATGTACATGTATATATATATATGCATATATATACATAAGTATATGTATGTATGTATATCCATGCAGTCACAAAGTGTATTTGCACATGGTACCAGTGACACTATCTCCTTCCTCCCGAAGTCATTAAGCCCAAAACAGCATTTCATTCTGCTGTGGAGACTGTTGGCTGCCTGGTACTTACTCTCTACCATCTTCCAGTGTGGGCGCTTACAGCACTCTGCCCCCAGGGATGGTGTCATTGATGGTGGTACCCAGAGAAGTAACTGAAGCCTCTCTGGGCCCTCCAGGACGGGCTGCTTCTGCTCATCCAGAATGGTCACGTGGCTTGTCTGCACGACCACTCCTGGGGCAGAGTCTAGGTGTCAGCTGATGCCCACATAATCTAGAGTATAATATTTATATACCTTTGTAATGTGCACACATGTTTATTCATAATTGGACACTCATTTTCAAAGTTATATTTATGTAATACAATACATATACAAATATATACAACATTTATATACATTCATGATGTATATAAATGCACACATGGTATGTGTACATATATTCCTGATATATTCTGATATTTTCAAAACCAGATCTCAGCCTCTTGAGGAGCTAAGGTTACAGGCATGAGCCTGTGGTACCTGGCTTCGGGTAGTAGAAATGATCGGAGCTGGTCAGCAAAGATGAGGCGTGCTTGTACCCGACAGACACCCCGATTCCCCTGCACACACCCCTGCCTGTTCCTCCCACGGTGCTCATCTTCCTCTGGGCTCTGCCCTGTGCTCCCAGAGTACGCTGATGAGTGATGTTCAGGGAAGATCAGTGCCCGTTCGCCAAACATTCCCACGTGGCCCACCCGCCAGCCCCCTCAAAGTGTGAGGCAGGCTTCAGGGAGGCAGACAAAGATCCCGCAGCGATGCTATGCTTCTCAGGCATTCTGTCTCTGGTCCTGTGTGGGCCTTGTCCTTATGAGTATGTTACAGTTCCCCTCTCTGACAGACCACACATTCTATAGGTCTGGGAGAGAAAAGGCCATGTCAGAGAGACATGCCATCACTTTGACTCCAGGAAGTGCTGGGAAATAAAATCAGTTGGAGATCTTACTCATTTATTTTCTATGTTAGGAGGTTTCAGTCAAACCAAAATTGGCCAGTGCGCTGTAGCTTACAGATCATCAGTTGATTGGAAAAGATGATGGGAAGTTAAGGAATTTTCAGCGTTTTTCTCTGCAGAAAGAAAAAAAATGGTTCTTTATATTGGATGACACTTGGGCAAGGCTTCTGAGTCAGGACCTCAGCTTTGCTGGCCACAGAAGTAAGAGATCTAGAGGAGGTGGGTTGTGTCAGCTGAGATACTCACATGCTAGAAACTCTCCCTAGAGGCAAGAGGCTCTGGAGACAGGGCCGGAGGCACAGTGGGACCCAACCAGGCTCCAGCAAAGCCCCTGTCCTTGGTTCATTCTTCTGAAGAAGAGCTTCTGTCTATTTGAAACCTGTGCACAGCCTGGCCACTAACTATGGAGACACCCCCCTTGAAAAGGTAGTGAAACAAATGCCTTTGGGATGATTTAAAGGCACCAGGTGGGAAATCAAGTCACAAGGATGATATCTTTGCCGACTTTATAGTGAGTGAGGAAGTACATTGAATGAAAAATTGGCCTGGTAGAAATCAGACTTAGCAAGCATTGTTCACCTAGGATATCGTTTATTGGATCTTGTAAAGGGTGAGCGAAGTTTTACTATGTTACCATACCACACAAGCCTTGAATCGAGTCCATCCCCCCACAAACCCACGGAAACCATACCCCACAGTGCATTACACCAAACAGCTCAGAATGCAGCCAGCACAGCCTGCATTTACAGTGATGTGTGCTGAGTTCATGAAGGAATGCCCAACTCTTCCTTAACACACCGATAACGAGTTCTGCACTGGGAAGAAATAGTTGATTCTCTCAAGAAATGAACAATTTTTTGCTCTGCGATTTTCCCTAGAAGATTAACCGGGTTCATAGCTGAGCCCTGTGCTCAGGGAAGGGACTAGGGGGGGACATGCGCTCAGAAAAGTCCTGGGGTCATCCTTTCTTTCCCTACCCACACCTTCCTCTCCATCAGTGCTTGCGAATGGATGTTTCTGGAGTCTCCAGGTTGGAACAAGAGGGGCGGGAGAAGCCGGGTGCGTCTTTCCTGATGGGTGGCTTCGAGGCGATCAGTGCTTGTTCTGAGCACGGGAGGTGTTAGAAGAGTGGATGGCTTCTCACAGGCACGCTCTGGGTTCTTGGGAAGTCTGCCGCTCCCATAGTTGGGCATCTCTCTGCTGTGGTTCCTTCCTGAGGATGGCATGTGGTTCTCCTTGGTCACTTCATGTTGGGAAAAGCCTCTGCTGAGAGCCATTCATCTCCCTAGATGGCGCTTTTGGACAAGACCTACAACAAGCCAGTGCTGGCTCTTCACTGTAACTCATCCTTTGCCTGGCTAGACTCTGCAATCCTGCTAAACCCCAAAGTGGCTCCTCTTGTTTGCTCACCCAAGAAAGGAGCCAAGAGCTCATGTCAGACACGGCGGTTCTCTAGGAAAGTCAGCCTCCAGTCTACTAAGTCCTCAACATATATGGTTGTGTGTGCTCACGTGCACAAACATGTTGGTACCAGGGCTTGAATGCAGGGCCTGGGTACTGTTCCTTAGCTTTTTCATTCAAGGCTGGTTGCTCTTCCACCTGAGCCACACCTCAGTTTCTAGGTTTTTTTGTTTGTTTGTTTTTGCTGGTTCATTGGAGATAGAATCTCACGGACATATTTCCCAGGCTGGCT